CTGGCAAATCTTATCAACAAATCTACGACACCAGGCGTTGCAGTCTCCATAGGCCGCGGAGAGTCGGCCGAAAGGGATCTGGGAGGCGGTGGAACTAAAAAAGTGGAATCTGTATTTTTCGTGTCGCTGCAACTGTTCATCGGAAAGAAAACTCTGGCGCCCGCCTGCTAGTGTCACTTGCAGTGGCCAACGCCGTTCTGTTCTACGGAAGTTGCAAATACAAGCCTTCGCATTCCTTGCTCCCGAGATTGCACGCGCGCATGTTGAATCACTTTCATGTAATTTGTTTTACTTATCAATTCTGCAAAAGAATGAGCGTTCTCAGGCAAACATGGGATGTCCTTGCTCGTTCTTGAACTCATTTCGACCTACTCTTTTCAACAATGAGGAGACCCTTATGTTCTTCCGCGACGGGACCCCTTGAGTAGAACACTAGCGGTACATTACTCTCCCGGGTGAGGACTAAAGGACCATTCCGGGTGTTTTCCGGCTGCCATTCTGGTGACACAGGGCGGGATCCCCAGGTCGATCCGGACGCCCTTACAGGGATACATCATATCACATTGTTCCGATCACTGTCGCGGGAGGCCTTCTGGCCCGCGCAGTTAGCCCCGGATAAACATACGGTCCATCACTGACGCAGCAACATCTTTGATCGCCGCAGGTAGTCCAATGATTGTCACATAGAATCCAGTTCCAGGTTTTTCTCTGTTCCTCAGATATATTGTTGATCCCCTGAAAACAGATTGTAGATCGAAATGGAACCCCAAGTTTGTATCAACATGGCTAACCCATGTTCGTATCAAAATGTTTTGCATTCAGCCAGGATTAATTACCGATCAAAATTATGTAGCATGCGTTTGAACACGCGCGCTCACCAACCTTAGCAACGACAGCCTCGACGCCCGGCGTTGCAGTCTCCATAGGCCGCGTGGCGTAGGCCCCGTGGCTGTAACATTAAGCGATGGTCAATGGGCGAATGAAAAAAAAAATGACGCGTCTTTAGGAAGATGGCTAGTAAACGAGGTAAATCGGCATGCGTGTTTATGGTAGCACAAAAGTAATCCAAATGCAACTTAGATCTGTAGAACGTGGAGGAGCCAGTTTACATTGCTGGCCCACCACCTTAAGAAGTGAGGGGGGGGGGGGCGGGGGCATTGGGTGGGTGCCCACCGGCTGCCATTCGGGCGGACCAAACCCGGCCGGTCCCTGGTCGATCCGGCGGTCCATGGAGAGATGCACCGTATATTGGTCCCCTTCCTGGCGCGGGAGGCCATCTGACCCGGGAAGTTGGCTCCAGATCGACGCAAGGGCCCTCACCGCCGCAACAAGATTCCTTACCGCCGCAGGCAGTTTTACAAATTGGCACAGAGACTCCAGTTTGGCCAAACGAATCGTCGACTGAAGTGGGATAGAGACCCCTGTTCGGCATTGGGGGTCCTGCCTACCACAGGGTCCTCCCATTATTTTCTCGTGGATTCCCACCTCAAGTTCTCTTATCTGTTTCCATTGTCAGAGGGCCCAAACCAATGCTGGGGGCCCAATGGCATCCGAGGCTGCATACCAGTCTGTTCAGTAAATGCTCCCCGGATCGACTCGGGGCCCCTTGCCGGCAAATAAACTCCTGTTAGATAATGTAGGCGCCCTACTAACACAGGGGCCTCTTGTAGTTACAGGGGCTCGACCAATGCAGTTCACGGGCCCCAGCCTCGTCCCTGCCTGATAACTGTACTCCCCATGCCCAGACCACACGGCGCCGACCGTTCGGTGTTGGTGGTCGCTGGCCGAAATAGGGGGCCGCATGATTCCAGGGCCCCCAATCGCTGTGAGAGACGCTCTTACTGGCATCTGAGGTCACGGTCCCAGGGTGCGGGGGTCATAAATGTGACAGAGAGCATCCCCTTTGGGCCTTCGGGACCTTCAGCCTTTGGGTCAGACCCTTGATCTTTGGTTCCGATGGGCCCATCGGGACCCTCTTTGATTCCCTCACATATGGCCTCTGGTCAAATCGGGGCGACTTGTCGATACAGGGACCCTGTTTAATAGTTTAGGCCTTATCGACGCAGCCCTCTCATTGCTGTAGGCACCCGGCCGAATGCAAACCACAGGCACCGGCAATGCTTCTGCTTGGGAAAAGAGCCCCCAAGGCTCCGACAGACACGGAAACAACTGTTGGTTGTCAGTGGTTTCTGGTCGAAATGCAGGCCCACGTTGCCTCAAAGGATCTCAATCCGTGCAAGAGGCCCTCTGACCGACGTTTGAGGTCACGGCCCTGAGGACCGGGATCCTTCATGGGTCATGCAGCCCTTCGGGCTCTTCGGGCCGTTCAGCCTTCCAATGGTCCCCTTGATCTCGGTCTCCAGGGGCTTCCGGGTGGCTTTCAGGGGCTTTGGGCCCCCTCGAGCACTGCCCTGGTCGACTTGGGGCCTGTTGCCAACATGGAACCCCCTGTTAGGCACTGTGGGCCCCTGGGCAACATGCCAACACGGAGGGCTTATAACGACTCAAGGGCCAAAACGAATATAAATGAGCCCCGACCTTGTCCCTGTCCTGGGAAATAAGCCCCTCAAACCAAGACCGACAGGGAGCCCGCTGTTTGGTACCCGCGCTGCCTGAACAGCATAGGGGTCCTGATGGACTCAGGGGAACTTGCAAACGGCGCAAAAGGCCCCTGACTGGCATTTAGGGGTCCGACCCTGTGGGCCAGGCTCTTTTATACGAACTCCAGTTAGCTCTTCAGGCCCTTTGAGCTCTCAAAGCGGGCCCTTACTCGAACTTACGGTTAATTTGATCCATCATAATAATTTTTAAAGAATCTTTTAATAACAAAATCATCCTTATTTTTAGTCTGGAGCACTGCATAGCCAATGAGGTGGCGGTGTTTGCGTGACGGTTTAATGACGTCATGCCTATGTGACCTTGGAATAATCTGCACGAAATAGTCTGCACAAGTTTGTGGACGTCAAGCTCAGAAAACGATAAAGTTTTAAGCCACAAAAAGAGCATGACTGTGAATTGCACTGAATGATATTCGAAAGGGCCATTTCAGTTTAAAACCCAATACAGCTTTGGGACTCCTAAGATAATAGTCAGAGCGGATTGGCTCATAGAGCACCACAAGCTCTCAACGCGATGGCGTGATCTCTATCGTTCGTGTCACTGTAGCTGTTAATCTGTTCAGAGAACCCGCTTCAGAAATCGGCACGTGAAATTTCCTTGTCAGGGCTGAAGGACCCATCTGTCCCGTGCAATGTCCTCAGCAGCTAGACGGGAACCGGGGACCCCTGGACTTTCCGCAGACCCTCAGAGGGATACATGGCACATCGGTTACCTCCGTGAGTGGCAGGCCGTCTGACCGGAGAATCTGGCATCTGAGGATCGATACAGGAATCCTCACTGACGAAAAAAGGTCCCTTACCGGCGAGGGTAGTCCGCCCCAATCTCACCTTCACACTCCATCGCTGCCAACTCACCGTCACAATACATCACCGCCATCTCACCATCTCATCCCATCGTCCCCATATCACCGCCACACCCCCACCTCACCTCCCCATCTCACCGTCACACCTAACCGCCCCCACATCATCGCCACACCCCTGCCTCACCTCCCCCATACCACCGCCACACCCCTACCTCACCTCGCCCACCTCGCCGTCACACCCAATCGCCCCCCACCTCACTGCCCCCGTCTCACCGCCACACCCCTCGGTGCCTCTGTATCACCGTCACACGCCATCGCATACTCACCATCAGCCGGACATCATGCCCGTTAGAACCATTTAGCCGTTACGCCCATAGTTCTGGTACACCGTCACGTCCATGGCGCCGAGCTCTGACACGACCGTCACGGACCGACAGCAGCTCGTGACGGGGTCGGGCATGACTGGACGGCACGCCGTGACGTGAAGCTCACGCGTCGAGTAGCGGACTACTTGAGACGCACGCGCGGCCACAGGGAAGCCTCGATCTGTCGGCTGCCGGAAATGATAAGTCCGCGGGACCGGCACCTTGGGGACGGGCCTGTGATGGGACGGGCTTTCGATGGGCGGGCATGAGATGGGACGGGCCTGTGATGGGACGGGCTTTCGATGGGAAGCAATGCGTTGCACTACAAGACTCATGGGTTCTCGAATCCGTCCGCGCTATACGATAGCGTCACACAAATGAGCCGTATGCAGATTAGCAAGAAGTTAAGAAAGTTGTCAAGCTGAGGGTCCGAATATGCCAAGTCAGCGCTGCATGCGCCTGGCCATGAGTCGTGCAGGTTCCCCAGGTTTGGAGGAGTACAAGTGGACCATGCTGCATGATGGTGCGCACCAGTCGATTCGAGAACATACGAGTCATGGTGGAACTTACGTGGTGCCTGATATTCTGTGCAATTTATGCAAAGTCGAATCATTTGAGCCATGGCTGCTAGGAAGGCCAACCAAAATGGCAATGGCGCTTAGAACAATTATGAAATAGTCGTATTTATGGCGAAACAATTTTCAGAATGGCGCCCTACCCCATCCATCACAAGATTGATTCCACAGTGCAACTTCACTGGGACGCAGGATTTCTACCAACATGTAACTATTAGGGTTTACGTGAATGTTGGGCTATAATTAACCTACTAGGGCTCAAAGACATTCCTACCAGTGCTTCATTTTGCCGTTGAAAGTGTACCGCATGAAAAATGCATGCAATCAAAATATTCCACTAATAATTCTCACAGATCCCCTTCATGCAATTCCGAATCGCTACCCATGGATGCAACAGACGACGAACAGAGCGAGGAGTTATCAGGCCTGTCGCCACATTATGCGAGAAGTCTCGTCCATTGTCGTACCATAAGGCTAAGCCTTACCCTACTCCTCAACAACCAATTGTGCAAAATATTAAGCAAATTTACCGGTCAGATCCATACGCTGAAAATGCGGTGCGATTTAAAACGGGCAAACCATAAAGAAGTTTCCAAACGTTGGCTCGTAGCCTCAAATCATGACTCGAAGAAAAGGAAGATTACGAACGTCCAGATTTAATGAGTAATAAAACGTTCACAAAAGCGGTCAGCAGAAGCACCCACGAATAACACGCATACGCAATAACGAGACGCCAAAAACAACACATGGTTCACTAATGTATGCTACGGCATTAGCATAATCTTAACCAGTGCAGATTCTCTTACCAATGTGGTGCAAGTACTAAACATAACCGTACAAAACCTGGCGGAAGACATTTGAATATTACCCTGCCACAGTTACCGTATGAAAACATCAGCCAACTGGTGACGGTGATGAGTTGGAGCCAGATGTTAAAGTCAACCAGTCAACCATCAACCACATGCTGACGAGTGCCGCACACTGCTGCCGACCAACTGACCGTAGTCTCAGCACAAATGTCGTTCTCAAATATCAGTTTCAGGGCCCATTCGGCTTGTGGAGCTTCGGCAGCGGTGATTTGGTACAAAGCCGGCTTGCCAGTCACTGGAGTCATTGCACATGCGTAACTAACCGCGACGCAACCATGTCCACATTACGTCGCCGACTATTGTCGTTAAGCACCGTTCTAGTGAACCCCGAAAGGTGCATAGTGCTCCACCGCTCGACGCTACCGTCTTGTCCCTCGAGATCTTCCCGGTGCACCGAATCGAGGGGGGGGGGGGATACACCCCTTCCGGAAGCTAGTGCGCTCCCTCACATCGCGCCCGCAAGCCAGCTCATGGACCACGCCGCATCACCACATCAGCTGCTGCGGGGGTCAGCGCTGACGCCTCGGCGAGCAGACGCTGAGCGCGCAGCGCTGCCCCGCTGGACACGCTAAGACCGCGTCACGCGCGCCGCCGGCGTCACAGCTCCTCCCTGGCCTTGTCACCGGCCGGTTCGGGCCCGTCCGTCCCGCGAGCCGCCTTAGCCGCGTCCACCGCGCTCTGCAGATCGGCGAAGATCTCGGCCACGGTCACTCTGGGCCCCCAGCTGTGTGTGACTCGACCCGTGTGGTCCACCAGGTACTTGTAGAAGTTCCAGTCTGGCGGGGCCGATGATTGAGCTGCGGCAACGGAGAGGCACGTTTCCAGGTCTTTGTGGTGAAAACAGGCTTTGACGCGCAACGATTAGCGGTCCTCATTATTGGATCGGTACGCGTGGCACACACACGATACGTAGTGGCGGGCTTACGTCAGAGGCGGCGACTTAGGGGAGGAGAGGGGGGGGGGACGAGGGTAGGAAAGAAAGGGAAGAGGAGGGCAGCCGAACCCTAGCTTTGGGCAGCATTCAACATTCGTCCCATGCATGGGACGAATTCCGTGCGCCACCATGGTCATGGAGGCGCACGGAATAGAGCGAGGTCAACCACCTTTATTCCTTCCCCAGCACCACTGAGCTTCTGCCGCCGCTGGCTTGGGTGATGTGGTTTGGGTGCATTTGGTTGACGCTACATTTACAGGATTATCTGGTATGAGTCACAACAATCATGTTCGGCGCGGAAACAGATTGGAGTGTCTGTAAATTCTGCACATCACATAACGATCCAGGTGATGTTGTAACAACTGTCATACCAGAGACAAAGATAAACTGAAGTGTTTAGGATCAGTAGCGAACAACTAGATTTGAATATAGTCTCCACTAATCCGTTGAATTTATCATATTCCGGTACCTGCATGGCAATGTTGTGCCAGGCCCAAAAAACGGTGCTTAATCCGAGACGAAAACCCTTCAGATTTATTTCAATAAACCACGGCAGAAACTCATATTGGCATCACTTCGTCGCGTCTCAAAAGTATGTCAGGCCTAGACTCAGCGACAGCTAGTTACTGCCTTTTCAACATACTTGAAAATCCTTTTGATACATCTACACGCCTAGCTGAAGGGTAAACTGCACCAGCAGGTCTAGCGAGGGGCGCAACCTCAATTTGCGTCATGGGGGGGGGGGGGGGGGGCTGCCATGATTCGCGACAGGAACATTTTTGCGAGCGATTCCCAACTTCATTGACGGTACCTAGCGCTATGGCGAGCAGACTTACAGGCCCCACACGTGCGAATAGGTACAGCACCTAGCGAGTCAACGATCTATTGGTGCTGGTTTGCCCTGTCGCCTCATACAGTTGTTTTCGGTGCACACGGTGCATGTTCACTCGGCTATGTGCTCGTCTTGTTACTACATTACGACCAATGAACTCTACATTTCACTGCCCATGGTGTCCATGGGTCCATGCGATGTAAAACCAAAATAGTTTTCTGATTACTAGATTCCGAACTTATTGTTCCGGACTTAGTAGTGCCGTGGTGAAAAACTGCACTCGAACCTGCCTGAGTGGGTGAAGCTGAAGTCATATGAGCAGTCCCCTGACTGCGCCACTGAGTCCGGGAGCGTATTTTGGGCCCCCCACACACACCAGGACGCGGGCATTTGACCCATGTTCCAGCCCCTCGCGCTCACCGATGATGTTCCTGAACACGGGGTGCGCGTTCTCGCCGATGACGTCCACCTTGTTGAAGAGGGGGAACTCTGACTCGTAGTTGACGAGCACGAACTGCTTGATCTGCGGCGGGTCGCCGGGCTCCTGCTCGCCGAACTGGTTGCAGGGGAATGCGAGCACACTGAAGAGGCCGCCGTGCGACAGGATGTCGTGCGCGCGCGTCAGGTCGCGCAGGTGGCTGTCCGTGAAGCCGCACATCGAGGCCGTATTCACCACCAGTGTCGCCTGGCGGCAGAGGGGGGCAGTGAGAAGAGGGAGTGGTGGGGACAGTGGTCACATAGGAGGGGAGTGGTGAGAACAGTGGTCACATAGCAGGGGAGTGGTGAGAACAGTGGCCACATGGGAGTGGATCAGTGAGAACAGCAGTCACATGGGAGGGAAGCAGCAAGAACTTCAGTCTTATGAGAGGAGATCAGTGAGAACCATGGTCACCAGCATTCCAAAATTCATCCAATAGGGTGTGCAGGATGTAAATACATATTCATGCCACCAGAATTCTGACTCTTTGGGGGCCCTCCTGCATGCAATTAGTTGGTGCTAACCTGTTGCCCTTTGACTCTGACTCAGACATCTAACTTACTCCACCCAGTTGTCAAGCCTGAGGCACATAGATACTGATTTGACAGCCACCTGATGCTGATAGGCCGATTTTGAGCAAGGAGAGGGGCCATACACAGTGAGCCCAAAGCTGGGGTGTTATAGCATGAAAAATATTGACATCCCTGCCACCCAAGCAGCTGAATACTGGAACACTGGGGGTCACATGGGAGGAGAGTGGGTAATGGCAAGAATGGTGGTCATGTGGGAGGGGAGCATTAAGAGTGCTGGTCACATGGGAGGCTGAGATGAGAGTGGTAGCCATATAGGGTGGGAGTGGTGACAATGGTGGTTACATGAAGGGGGGGGGATTGAGCCATAGTGGTTAGGTCAATGTGCTATTCAAGGGTGAACAGAGGTGAGGGTGATGGTTACTCTGGAGTGTGCAGCAGTGAAAGAAATGGTCAGATGAAAAATATAATAGTGACAGGATCAGCGGCTGTATAACAATATCTGGACACAGGTGACAGCCAGTGACCACAGGGGCACTGGGTCAAAGGTGAGAGCAGTCATCTAACAGGATTCCAGAGCACTTAATGAGACAACTGGTCATAAATGCTGCAGGGTAGAAGTAAAGAGCATGCTCATGTGGGAGTATTTAGACTGCTAAGAGCAGTGGCCATATGGGGAATACAGACTACAGGTGAGACTAGTGGTCATATATGCATGGCACATTACAGCAGACTTGAGAGCAGTAGGGTCTCAAAAATGTACATTAGTGAGAGTCATAGTCATATGTAAATTGCAAAACAGAAGTGAGTTCCTTGACAGGACTGTAGTATGGACAACTGCCTTACATGCTTGAGCACCAGATTATTACTTATCACCTGACACATAAGTTATCAGCTTGCAGACTGTGCTGTTATTGCTAGCTATTTCCTGTACTTGTCATTAACAAGTTAATGAATCATATACCAACACATTAAACAATGATCCTTAAACCAGGGTTATGTAAGAAATATTTTGGAATTCATCCTGCTTGAAAGTAAGAGTAACAGCACTTACCTAATTGATCTCAAAATTCCCTCACAATGCTTTGAAGACTATGAGGCAATTATGCTACATACCTACCAGGTCTTGCCACTGCCTTTCATTACCACATATCAGCTAAAGTTAGCCTTTGAGTACCTTAATTTCTGCCCAGAGGCAAAGCAGGGGTGGTCTGAAAGTCATAGTTAATGTTGGAGATAGTGGGCTCCACCCAAGACTGAAGGTCCAAGTGCTTATTGGAGGTTTGTGATGCCTGCAATACTTCAAAAAATCAAAACAAAAATGACCCAAGACATATTGAAATAGGATCTCCCAGCCAAAACAATCTCCAAAATATAAAAATAGGATCCTGTTGCAATTATGTGGGGACCCTTTGCTGAAGGCACCCCCTATGCCTTATTTGCCCCCTCCTGAGAGAAATCCTGACTTTTATGCCACTAGATTTGCCACATCTAAGCTGAAAGGTCTTTATACATGCCTATATTTAGTATAATATCTAAACACACACACACACACACACACACACACATATATATATATATATATATATATATATATATATATATATCATGCAAATTACTGAAGCAAAGGATATGGACACCAACTTACCATTCCCCTGAATTGACTGAAATTCACTATTTCCCCGTCAATGCTTTCAGCAGAGAGTTTGAAGTATTCATCTTCTAATGAGCAGCTTACTTGATAGGATGCTAAAAGTGCAATAAAAACAATGCTCAACACTGCCATTCTGGTTCTGAAAGAACTAAGTCACCCGAAAAAGCATCAATCTGAAAAATCTGAGCCAGCGCCCCACCCCCGCACCGCTCTGAACAACAGACCACACTGGGCGGGAGGTCATTCACCACTCGCCGCTGCGAGACCCGCCGCGAACGCCGGTTGTTTACATTTGCCAGCTGGCCAAGCATGCAGTCATGTGGGGGGCAAGTACGTGCCGGTTCGTTTCAAGATCTGGCTTTGGCGATTACATTTCATTAGCTTGCTAACGAGGGTCAAAAATCTCAGGAAGTGCTTCAGAAAGTGTGTACAATCGAGCGACCTTTCTTCCAGAAAGGCTAAATTGATATGAGCGAACATATACTAATGCTAACCTTACCCCAGCCATTTGGGCTGTGTTAAAACTCGGCCAACTCGTAACATTTAAGTAGTTTAACTAGGATTCATGATTTTTGGAAAATCATTACGAAGGTTCAACTTATATTTTCGGCGTGATTCAAAGCATTGTTCCACCATGAAGCCCGCATGTCGCGAAGTTAAAGAATGAAGTAATTTCGCAACCATATCCCCGTTGTTATGGCAACACTTGAAGCATGTAACAAGCGTTGACGCCAAAAAACGTGGCATTTCCAGATGCATAATGCTATCGGATTGGCTGTAGTGTAGGGCGTGAGTGTGATTTGTAACGTACAATCCCTCTCTGGTTTAAGGCTAATTACTATTTTGTCCGGTTAAGACCAATAAGACTGTTGAGAGAGATGGGGAGAAGTGAACATGACATTCAAACACGTACACTGCCACCGGTGTGCTGATCCCGACAATCGCTGCACCAAACTCAGGCCAGGCCAAGGTATGCTGGATTTTCAAATAAGTGTTGCATGCCAAAATGTGTTCGAACTATTTGTAGCAGGGAATTCTGTTACAGCATCATAATGTCGTGAAGTATTGGCTCTCTGTGCACTGAAATTGATGGTGACCATGTGCCCAACACTGACTGCTCAGATTTATGGCAAACATGCATTGAAAGTGTTGCCACAATTGTTGCTCTGCTGGTTTTGCAGTCTGGGCTGGTGGCAGGGTAGTAGCAGGTTTAGAGGTTGTGTGGCTTTAGGTGACTGGACAGAATGCAGACATTGGTTCCCAATCATTGTAGCACTTAGTTATCACAACAAAGTTCTGCTGTTTACTTTAAATTTTGCAATCTGATAGCATAGCCAGTGGTTACTCAGCAAATACTGCTTATTATAGATTGCTATCATAGAAATCCATCCAAGTTAAAGGTTCATACTCAATAATAAAAAGACAGTGACTATGATTTATGAATATGATAAGTTCACTCTATCCTGATAATGCTCTGCTGATTCACATTGCCTGGGATGGCTAGACACAAGCTTGGCAAAGTTCACTCTATCCTGATTGGTTGCTGGTTGGTTGGTCTTGATTGAGGGAAAGAATGATATGACATTGACACCTTGCACTGGTTGTGCAGCAGTAGAAATTATGATTGATATTTCCACCTAACTAGATGAATTGAAATGATAAAAGCCTAACCAGACTTGACAGAGCAAATGTCAGCCATTGTCATGATGCAGTGTTTTTCTAAATAAGGATTAACAATGTGTGAAAAATGTGCATATGCAAATAAATTTAGGTAAACAGGCATCAAACATCAGACATCACTCCTACATGTAAATGATTTCAATCTAGCACACATCATGCTCTAAAGCACTAATCACATTCTCATAATCAGCCATGGTGAGCCCCACACATGTGTCTATTTGCTGACTTCCTGTGAAATTTGACTTTTTTCTGTCTGGATGGTCCTGTGCTCTGTAAATAGCTTTTAGTTTCAAAAAAGGTGTATTAGCCATGCCTGGCTGGTTTTAGCCTGACTGTTTCATTAATAAATGGCCCCTGAAGGGTGTATTTTCTCTTTTGTTGTAAGCTTCTCTCAGGTGTTTGTTTTATCTGATGTGAATAGGGTGTATGGTCTTCCCAGCATATACTACGTCCCTCGGTGTTCATTGCACCATTTACACTCAAGTTGTTAGCCCACCCTTCCTGCGTGCAAATGCATTGAAATCCTGACTTGCATAAATGACACCTGTTGCCCCTCCCCCTGGGCGCTTAGGCCTCACAATGGAAGATTAGATGCATCTTTGACTTTCTAACAATGCATTTTTCCAAAGCAGGTGCTCATCTATGTCTGGTTGTGTTAAAATGCTGTAGTCTGACATGGCATGTTTTCATTTCCTACCACCCATCCCCCCACCTGCTCTACATTTTTTTAACTTCTTCCATTATTTTCCCTTAAAGTCGTGGATATAAAGTCGTGGATATAAAGTATATAAAGTCGTGGATAGGCATACAGCTAAAATATGACTGGATGCATCCCTCCTTTCCCCAGGTTATTCCATAACGAATCAGGCTAGCGGAGCTGTCTTGTGTATATGCATATTGTCCCTCGCACATGCGTTAAACAACCTGCGTGTTGAAGAAAATGGCAACCTGAAAACTTTGCAAACTATCCAATTCAAATTTTGTTGTGGTTAGACGCCGGACATCATCCATGGGTGAGGTAGCGGGACGTTCGCGGCCAAGAAAAACTGGGGGAGGGGAAGACCCGGGTCGCCGAGGCAGCGGATTACTGACCTCGAGTCCTCGTTAGCTGCCAGGATCTCCAGCATGCTTAGTTAACAGTCATACATCCACGCTGTTTTTTCCCGGCTCCCCTGGCCTGCACCCGGCGGATGTTAACTGCAGTCACGTGGCGGTACCTTGACCCTAGAGTCGGGTTCACAGCAGTCTGTTTGCTTAAGGCCACCATTCCCTCCGCACTTAGAGCATGGGTCAGGAGTTTTTGAACCTGCGTCTATCTTAGGATTTTATCTTGAGCTAAAGGTTGGAATTTATGTTAAACTGCCTCACTTTGTTTTCTGTAGTGAGATGTACCTTGCATTTATCTCGAGATGCAAGATCCTTAGGATTGAGTTTCCCATGCTCAAGGAGCTCATATTTGAGGTAGACCCTGAGAGCACACTGGCCAGTTCTCTGAAAAGGTCAATGCCAACTGCTCCGGCACCCATCTCGAATAAAACCCAGCGTGGCCTAAAGCGTGGGAGTTCTGGACGTCCAAGCTACACAGGCGTGTAGTCCTGTCATCTTAACCCATTCCGAACCAAAGCATTTACGTGTTTCACAATGCTGTGGATACAATTGTCAAAGCTGCGAATAATTTCAAATGCATCGATTTTGTGGATGAAAGTTTTTAGGCCACATCAAACCAAAGCCAGCGAACTTTCAGGCCAGGCTGTCGATTATTGCCTGGACTTACGTTAACGCAAACGTGCATAATAAATTTACGACAGGACATTTCAATACAAGTTTCAATCGTGTGATTTACCAAAACTGACGGGTTCCATTCGCTTGCGTATAAACATTGTCTACACAGGGTAATAGATGCCGGGTAGAATGAAGCTCGTGAAAAACAGCAGTATGAGACTGGAAATACGTTAGATTTGCGATGTAGGCTGGATTTCTAGGTTATTCTAAATGTTTGACAGCCAGCAGCTGAAGGTAGCTTGGCGCAGGTGCCACAATGGTGAAGGTATTTTAAATTTAAATGCATGGTATGACCAGACTTTGGAAGAACCTCTCAAGGAGCTGTATATTAACACGCGCCCCGAAGGTTTTTCAAGAATGGTTTCCGAACGGCGCGGCGTAGCCGCGCCAAATTTTGCATAGCGGTACTTCGGTGGGGAATGTTATCTACATGATGATAACAATCATGCATGTAATAATAATGGACATCGCGCACTGGACGCTGCGAAATGCGTCATGCTGGTAGCAGGCTTAAAGGAAATGTTTCACATTTGAAGATATTGAAGCAAGCATCAGATATGATGAAACAAGCCGGCTTATAACGAATGGTATGCTTTTTAATTGGGAAAGACTGCTCTAGACAGCACAATTTTCGGTTCAGTAACTATGCTTCTCAATGCGTCATGGTTTTATTACGTCATCATACCTTGCACAGCACTGATTGAGTTGCGATGGACGGCTGTTATATCCGGAAATCGCGCTCACTAACGCCAGATATGATCGCCTCGGCAATTTATATTTCTGGCCGTTGATTGCCGCATAGCTTATGGGATGGCAGGGCTGAGCTGGCATTATTGACGTCATTGTTGCCAAGTTAACTAAAATACCCTCCCCGACACACCTTTCTTATTTTCGAGGGCGTGTAACTCAGAAACTGGAGGGGCTTAGGTTTTACGGAGGGCAGGAATGTGAGCCAAGATCTTTAAGATGCAGTTTTTATTTCAGTGTTAAAACCCCATATGAATGTGGAATGCTCCCTTTAAAGAGAATGTTCTATATTTTAAGATGTTGAAGCACGCATCAGGTATCATGTAATAAGTTCACTTGTAACTATTGTCATACTGCTCCTCAATACGTGATCAGTCGATTGCGTCATGGAACGTCTGCACAGCAGCACTGATAGTTCTTTAATCTCCCGAGAGATGGCAGGACGGGCTGGGGTGTTTGATTGGCCAAATATCGTTATATCCTCGTATTTGGCCCTTTTTCGTGGTGTCACTGCATATTTATTCGGAAGTTGGAGATGTTAACGTGCATTGACATACTCGGTCATAGAGCCATTCTAAACTTATTCGAACACATTTTCCGACCTTCTTACACCCATATCGTGATGTAATCTGTCAAAAATAGTACCTTATGCATGTGCCGTACGTGTGTGTGCTTGCTTGTGACCATATGGCCGCGTCCACAGGGAACAATGGCAAAGGAATCCGCGGTTCTGTGCGAAATTACCCACTCGTCAATGCCACTAGCTTTGCCTCCTGATGATCCAAGACTGAAGGTAGAGTCCAGCGAACTTTTGTGCGCGTTATTGTAACCGTCGCATTGAGTCGCCGTTTTCATCACGCGGAATGATGGGAAGCGGGGGGTGGGGGACATTGATGCGATTCCTTGGCGTTTCTAAACTAATAAAGATAAAGCCTCGCAGAAAGCGTCAGGAAATTGGTCTCAACTAGATCTCGCGGTTGGTATTACTTGTTATGCTGTTACATGAATTGACTATTAAGCCAGGTTAAAGGTCACACTTTTCAGAAACCGCATTTTCCAACTTTACAACATCATACAAACAAGACTATGCCCCGCGGCGACACGAAACCTAAGCAAGCGCGTTCTCTGTCCAATTATGAGTACAATAATATATGTGTGTATATATATATATATATATATATATATATATATATTTGTACGTATTTTGATCCTTATGGCATATGGCTTCTAATACTGTCAGGCCGCCGCGGGCGTTCTGCGGCATCCTCGGTTGCTGCCCGCCGCCCGCGGCGGCCGCAGATCGCCGTGCGGTGTTCCTCGAAAACCGTCGCTGCTCCGAAACCAGAAAAGCCACGAGCATTGTTTTTGTGTGCGTGTCAAAACACGTGCAATAGATGTCCCGCAGGCTACTAAAAACTTGGGCGCCAATGCACATCATGCCGTAGAGGTGTTTTCAAAAAGCCTTAGGGAGGTCGTAGCCCGCTATCAAGGCGAGGGTTAATGTGTTTTATTTCTACACATAAGTTTTGTTGTAACTTAACGTCGCCATGTGACCGTACGGACGCTGTTGCATGGCTGGCAGCACCGCGTGGAGAACACCTACTGCCTGGAGCCGCCAGAGCGGTTTCAGGTCTTGCGCGTGCGGGAGCTGGTGGAGCGCCGCCTGGCGGAGACGTTGCAAGGCGTGCAGTACGACCCGGAGCGGTGCCGTGGCCTGGCCGTCACGTTAGCCGACTTCATACGCAAGGATATCATGGATGAGGGCCTGCTAAGGTACATACGTAGCGCCTGCTCTAGCGGTGACATAGAAGCCAATTATATACCATCAGTCTGCTCTTGAGCATGTCTCCCAGTACATGAACTCGTGTTCATAGGGGTGTTTTCAACGAGGATCTTGGACTATTTTGTGGGTTCCCCAAAGATTACCGATAAGTACATACATACCGAATGTTGCGTTTGTGGTCTAGAAACGTAGAAAACAATACATTCGCCGATAATCCTTTCCTGGGAGTTCGGTATGTGCTTGCTACATGTACCAGCGAAGCAGAGATGAGTAGGTCAGAAGCCCGCCTTTGTTGTAGCTGCTCCATACAGCATCATTCTTTTCCACAGGTACAAGTTGGCATGTCACGTCATTGTAGGTGAGAAGATGGACCAAGGGATGACGGTCGGCTGTCGCTGCCTCTGGGACAGCACCAGGGACAACTTCGCCACGGCCACGTACGAGAACCAGTCGCTAGTAGCTGTGGCCACAATCTTCGCCCTGTACTATGAGTAGCCTATTTGGCGCCGGCGACTGATCACTGCCGGCCGGCCCTGAGGCGATCGTGCCGCGCCCAGCCATGCAGACGGGCTCGCACGCTGCCGTGACGTGTCTCGAGTCGGGCTGGTTCATCGACGAGCTGGCGCAGCTGACCGAGATCTACGGGCCGGCGGCCGGCGCCGCCCCCGTGCCCGAGCTGCCGCTGCTGCGGTCGGACGCCCGCCTCTGGGACATTCGCACCCCATTTCTGATGGACCAGCAGGCGGCGCGGCTGGCGCGCGAGCTCGAGACGGGCGCCGGCGAACCTCGGCGCCGGCGACGGCCACGACCGCCCCACCCGACGGCGCCCTGTCCCGTCTTGTGCGCGCTGGAGCGGCTGCTGGCCGAGCGGCGCGCGGCCGTCGACGCCGACGCCGACCCCGACCAGGGGCCGACAGCCGACGATTACCGGAGCAACAACGCCTCGGCTCGACAGGCGGCACGACGGCTGCTGGAGCGAGCCGCCGCCGCCGCCAGCTCGGCGCCGCTGCTGCCCCTCCACGACGCCAACCCGGCCGACCGGCCACGCCTGCTCACGCTCGACGGCCGCCGGTACGTGCTGCCCGCCCGCAGCCGCTTCCTCTGCGATGACGTCACCAGATCGTTCGAAGGCGACGGTGTGGTGCAGCGGCTGCTCGGCGGCGGCGCGAGATTTGACTGCATCCTGCTGGACCCACCCTGGACAAACAAGTTCGTGCGCAGGAAACGGCGCCACCTGGAGACCGATGGGTGAGTGGGGTACAGCCCTGCTGTACATTTTGCGTCGCACAGTCTTAAGCTTGACTCAAACGAGCGGCAGGGAATTCTCAAGAGCAGTGTTTTTAAGGCAACGTTCCTCTTGATCTTCCCTGGTAGAGCCCTTATACCATATGTCGGAAACTGCCATTGTCTGCATCAACACAGGCCTGTGAATGACATCTGACAACCTGGTGGCCAACGCTCCTGACTCAGAATATTCACGGTATGCAAGACAAGGACTATTGAGCCAAGGCGAAGCTGCGCTGTGCCGCGCCAACATTTTGGCAGGCGGATGGGTCATGCGGGGGTGCTGGTATGCTAGGCATCAGGTGCACCAATAGCGTGGCCAGAGGCGGCCGGTGTGGCCGAGCTTCCGGCGGTACGGTCGGTACCACCGCCTGACCCGTGCGTGCCGCCCTGTCAGGTACGAGTTCCTCGAGTCAGCCAGTCTGGCGCGTCTGCCGGTGGCACGGTTGGCGGCTGACGGTGCCCTGGTGGCCGTGTGGTGCACCAACAGCGCAGCCCATCAGCACACGCTACGCCATGTGCTCTTCCCCGCCTGGGGGGTGACTGAGTGCGCCACCTGGCACTGGGCCAAGGTAAGCTGGCCGGCTAGATGTGGAGATGTGGGAGTGGCTTGAGACATAGGGTTCACTAGAGCCCTTTTTACCGGCTATGTGGGCTCCTATGCCACAGCCAGCTGGAACTGACGACTGAAGTGATACGGCTAAGCAAACCTAAAATGATGAAAAGCCAGGTCCTTGTGCTATTCGTGGAGGCTGCTGACTCACCGCCTGGGGTCGGACTGTTCGGTTCAGCCGTGAAATGGAGGCCGGCGACAAGGCTTTCATGCGGACTAGTTCTGACGGCGAACCAAGGCACATCTTTCTGAGCGCTAAATAGATGTGACGGGTTGTGTTTGTTGATTATTCTGTTCACACGGCTGGATTGTATCAACCCGACGATATGGCCATGGTCTCTGGCGAAGGCTTGCCATTTGTTTGGAGGTGACCCGAACAGGGCTGACTCGGAAGTGAGCGCAGTATGGCGCGCACACCAAACCAAACACAAACCGCCATATTGTCACTGTTTCAGTCATGCAGCGAGCCGCCGCCGCTTGTGTGAGCCCACCTGAGCACACGCGCAGACCTGACCCCGTGTACCGGACAGGTGACCCAGCACGGCAGGCCGGTGAGCGCGGCCGGCCAGCACTCCAAGCGGCCGTACGAGCCACTAGTGCTGGGCCGTCGGGGGCCGCCGGGGGCCGTCGGCCCGCCGCCGCCGCCGCCCCACCGGCTGCTGGTGAGCGTGCCGTCAGCCGTGCACTCTCGTAAGCCGCTGCTGCATGGTGAGTGCCCAGCGGGAGTGTCCACCCGGGAAGCTACTGCTGCACAGCAGGCGTCCACAGCGAGTGCCCGCCGCCAGGCACTCGCACAAGACGCTGGTCCGCGGCGTGCTCACTGTAGTTCAGGCCCTGACCGTGCAAGGTACACCCTCATTCGACTGCTCTGTACTTGCTGTCTTTTACGTGCAACCGTTCCGCCAACCACACGTTTACAACGCCTCCAGCCCGGTCCGGCGACCCGACACCACTTGTGCTCCCCTGGAGCAGGTCGGCATACCCGCCAGCAGTTGATGCCTCTGATATGGCCTACAGAGGTGCTGCGGCCCTACTTGCCGCCCGACTACCGCGGCCTGGAGGTGTTCGCCCGCTCGCTGTTGCCCGGCTGGACGAGCTGGGGGGACCAAGTGCTGCTGCTACAGGAGCTGGGGGCCCTCCTGTTGCCGGAGGCCGGCTGCGGGGACACGCCGCACCAGACCGCCCAGGTCACATGTGCAGACGGAGACGCGCCGCACGGAGATGGAGACACGCGGCGCGAGCAAGAGGACGTGAACTCCGGGAACGTGGGTCCCATGTACAAGGACGAGGACGCGGAGTGCCGCGACACGCGTGGCGAGGACAGTGGCGCAGGACATGCTAACGGGAAGATGTGCCACATCAGCCGGGACGCTAGCCACGAAGAGCGGGGCAGCAGTGTGGGGCGAGCGTCCAGCCAGTGTCAGCGCGCTGGAAACGGCCACGAGTGTGCATCGTCGTGATCGGTCTCGCCGCTCCGGCTGTTCGGAGTGAAGTTCACGCCAGTGAGCCAGGTCACGGGCGTCACAGTATGTGTGTTAGTACGTATGTTGCCGGTGTGTCCGGGTGTATTGAGCCCCCCCCCCCCCCTCATTGTGCGTAGCCGGTTGCAGAACCGCCGTCTTTGATCAACCGGCTAGTCGGATGCAGACACGAACATTGCTTCCGTCCATTACCTCCGCCTGGTAATGCCCGTCATTATCGGCCATTGAGAGCAATTCAGTTTGCTGAGGGCGATCGATCCTTGGCATGGAAATTGCGTTGTGACTGAGGTGAGACTACACGGTGATGTCTTGGTTCCCATGACCCGCCCTGGTAAGCTTGCGATGGCCATGCTCTGGCCGCAGTCCGCATGTGGACAACAGCGTCAGGCTGGTGGGCATCACCAGTGACTGCGTTTCACGACAAAGCGACTACGCCTGTATACCTCGTCTGTTTACTTCGTCTGTTCACAACACGTACACTGTCCATCACACAAAACAAATACGAGTGCTGCACGTCGCCTGGCACAATACAGCCTCGCCCTTCTGAGTACCGCGGCCTGCTTCTGTCCCCCACCAGAGGTCGGGCGCGACGCCTGGGCATTCCGACCGAGGCGGGGGACAGGCCCTGTCGGCAGCCCTATTGGCTGGCGGCGCTTCATCGGTACAGATAATCGGCCTCGATGTTGGCCGCTATCTCCGACTCCCACCGGTCGCCGTTGCTCAGCAGCTTCTCCTTATTGTACAGCAGCTCTTCGTGCGTCTCTGTGGAGAACTCGAAGTTCGGGCCCTGGGGAAAAGATGGCTCTGAGTGTCGCTTGAAGCTTTGCACGGGTCTACGCCTAGTGCCAACGGGCCAGTGCCATCCGGCCAGTTGAGGCTTGTGAACGGGGTCCACGCCCCAGAAGGCACATTTCCGGGATGATCACAAGCACGCGAGCTTGAATCAGACATCATACATGACTGCCACGGAAAAACTTAGGCCAGGAGCACGTGACCGGTCTCCGATCCCCGCACACCCCCCCCCCCTGCCTCCCCTGTCCTCCGGCAGCACTCCTTGTAAGTAGGCTACCTCCACGATGGCGTCCACGGGACAGGCCTCCTGGCAGAAGCCGCAGTAGATGCACTTGGTCATGTCGATGTCGTAGCGGGTGGTCCTGCGGCTGCCATCGGCGCGCTCCTCAGCCTCAATGGTGATAGCCTGCGCGGTTACAGTTGATCAACCATCGGGCATTTTCATCGAGAACTTCCCGAACCCAATGGCTTGTGGTGTACGTAAGTATACGTATTATGCGTAACGTAATATAAATATACGTAATAATGTATAAATAAATAATATACAATAATAGTAATAATAATAAATAATATAAAAAATAATAAAAAATACGTAATATACGCAATAGAGTATACGTCAGCAAGTGTACGAAGTAAGTGTACGTAAGTACGTCCTAGAAGCATTGCTGCTTAAAATTGGAACTAATTTACGCTTATATAATATATAGATTGTGTGTGTGTGTTGTGTGTGTGTGTGTGTGTGTGTTGTGGTGTGGTGTGGTGTGTGTGTGTGTGTGCGTGTGCGTGTGCGTGTTCGTGTGCGTTGTGCGTGTGGCGTGTGCGTGTGTGCGTGTGCGTGTGCGTGTGCGTGTGCGTGTGCGGCGCGTGTGCGTGCTGCGTGTGTGTGTGTGTGTGTTTGTTTTGTGCGTGCGTGCGTGCGCGCGTGTGTGTCGGTTTATCTTGGCAGAATATGCTCCACTATGCATGTTTGATTAAGAACTCCCGCGGAGTCTGCATTGACAAGCTTTTTATGTATCGTTTGAGTTTTCGGGCTTTTGGCTTAACAGTACCGCTAAGATGAAAAAAGATTCGGGCAAAACCACTCTTATATTCGTCGATCTCTATATTCCTACGTTTCAAGACCTTATCTCACCGTCGGAGAAATGCAAATGGAAAAAGTAATAAGCTTTCAGCTTTTAAGGACGAAAATCGTGCATTACTTTCTGGAAACCATCCTTAAGCACAGAGAAGACAAAACAAAATCCTATAGTTTTTTGGATACATACAAAATAAACTCATAATGAAAACATTACAAAGCTACAGCCACCATATAGTACCTGCCGCCCACCACCTGATAAATGAAGGGTTATGCATGAATCTGCGTGTTTGTTTAGGGCTGGGAGAGTCCGTGAGTAAATACACTCTCCCAAATTTGATGGCGTCTTCTGTCATTGCCCGTCTGAAGAATGTCTGTGTTGTCCGCCAGTTGTCTTGTTAACGTCCTGTCATGTTAGTGTCGCATGTGTTCCAGAGGTGCCCTGTCACATAATTGCATTGTCAGGCGTCGTGAGAGTGTCGTGGTTACACCAATATAGTGTATGGAAAACCTCTGCAGCCTTCGAGGTTACCTCTGGATTAATACGCTACATTGGTGAATTTTGTCGGTTTCGTCCGCCTGCCTGCCTGACGCTGTACGCTAGTAAGCCAGTGCACCGGAAGTTTCTGTTCGCGAGCCTGATGGACGAACGCATTACCCAATCGAGGGTGCTGTGATGGGCTCCCCTCTCGGACCTTTATTCGTTAATTTCTACATGGGACATATAGTAGCTGTCACAATACAAAATGACGACATAAGACCGAACATTTGCTGTCCTTGTGTAGGCGATATCTCTGAAAAGGTTAGGGACACATCAACTAGAACGTCTCAAAAATACTTCTAAAGGGCGACCTGTTTTTAAATTCCCAAATGAATTGAGCGTGCAAAATATGATAAAAATATGACACCTCTTGTTGACGTGATTTGATGGACAGGGACAGCGATTTAGAACGACTGCACACCGAAAGCAGACTAACAACAGACAAGGCTTAAAGGCTGACAATAAATGTCCCCAACACTACGCACTTAGCATCATGCCATTCCTTAGACGTGCATTTAAGCGTTACTCTGTTGGGACTCAGAGATTTGTGCCACTTTCTGTCCAATTTTCAACTTGAACTTGGAACATGTTTGGAATTCCAAAACTTTTGGTATCCAATCGGCATCTTTAGTCTAAAAACCAACAAGCGCGGTGGGCAAGGCCCCCCCCCCCCCCCCCCCACCGCCCTCCCTGAGCCCGCGCTGGGCCAGGCTGCGCCGACCGTCTGACCTGCGCCGTTCTCCCCCCCCTCCCCGAGCCCGCCGCTGGGCCGGGCCGCGCCGACCGTCTGACCTGCGGCCGTTCACCTCCCCCCCCCCTCCCCCTGAGCCCGCCGCTGGGCCGGGCTGCGCCGACCGTCTGACCTGCGCCGTTCTCCCCCCCCCCTCCCTGAGCCCGCCGCTGGGCCGGCTGCGCGACCGTCTGACCTGCGCCGTTCTCCCCCCCCCCCCCCTCCCTGAGCCTGCCGCTGGGCCGGGCCGCGCCGACCGTCTGACCTGCGCCGGGCAGATAGCCTCGCACAGTTTGCACGCGATGCAGCGCTCCTCGCCGCTGGGGTAGCGGCGCAGTGCGTGCTCGCCGCGGAAGCGTGGACTCAGTGGTCCCTTCTCGAAGGGGTAGTTGATGGTGGCCGGCTCCTTGAAGATCATGCCCAGTGTGACGGCCATGCCTGCAATGGCATCAGCTGATGTACACATCGAATATGGCTGTCACTGAGCTCAGGCTATAGGCAGACGGACGTCATATTTGTCTGGATTTTTTGCACTCCTGGGAGCTGATAAGTCAGACACTATTGCATCAGTTTTAACCACGCCTGAGTGAACAACAGAAGTAACAACCCATCCAATACACAGGGTACGTTAACCCTGGAGTGAATGCTAGCTTATCCGACCACGCGAGGCAGCTTCGCATGGTGGTCCCAGTGCCACAGGCCCCTGCGCGCAAAGACCTGCTGTATTCCACAACTGACCTCTGGCCAGCTCCGTGAAGAAGATAGTCTTGGCCACCCGGTCGGTGACGTCACGGAAGGCCATGCTGGGGTCATTGTCGTTCACGCGCACGAAGCTGGAGGCCGAGGCGGATAGTGCCGGGCGCGCCATCTGCCGCAGCCGGGACCCGCCTGGTGCCGAAAACGTCACCCGTTTGTCAATGTCAATGGATGCATCTCACCAGAACTCCATGTTCATACACCGCAGGCCACGCTGAAGTCTGAATGTTATGCTAACGCAGCAAACAATGCACACTTTACTGCCCTCATCAGTCAACCAGCAGCACTTTGTTCACATGCATGCTGACCAGGCCTTTTGAACAGGGGCAATTATGCGAGATGCACGAGTTCTGATCACCTGCACGAAAAGATCGCGTTCATGTATTTGCTGCACAACCTGCTGACTTTATAGTCAACACAAAAACAAATTGTGCTTATCCCTGGTACCTTCAATCAATGAATAGGCACCAGTCCTCCTACACTGTATCTGAGGAATTGGGAATAAAAAACCTACATTCCTGTTGCTTGCATGTGACTTTCAACTTATTGCATAATTGCAGTGACAACACATGGGGCTGATATGGCTAGCATAATGCATGATGTTTATCACAATTGTTGGATTACTTATTGTTACAGTCCATTATTGACTACTGAATATTAATTGTCTGCTCACCAAGTTCCAAGTTCCAAGTTCCAATACCAAGTTCACCTAACCTGCCAATGTCCATGCTTGAATGAGCTAATAATGCACTACAACTTGAAAGGAATCCCCTTCAATATCAAAATGGGGGGTACCTTGAGGCAAATGAAAAATGTGAGGTTCACTCACATAGTGGCTTTTTGCCCTATACCAAAAAATTATCATGAAGGTAGTGCAAAGCCTCAGAAATCCAAGTAGCCATGGATACCCATGAGTGAGTTGAAAATGCCTGCCATGGGATAAAGACAATTTCCTCTTGTTTCTGTTTACTAGACTGGCTACTTGCACACTAAACAAGGATGCAGGGACAGTAAAAATGGACCACAAGTGGTGGTAAATCCAGGATTTTGTCAAGGGAGCCCAGACAACATTGTGTCCTGTGGTGTTCCCCCTCAAAAGAATATTGTAGCATTTCGGCCATTCAATTGAAATATTATAGCGGTTAACACTATGTTATTACACACATGCCCAATCCCATGCATGCCTGCACGCACACACGCATGCACACACATGCCCACACACACACACACACATATATATATATATATATATATATATATATATATATATATATATATATATATATATATATATATATATAATAAATACACAACAGAAAACCATCGACCAGAGCACAGTCCTCGAAACCTAGGCATTGTGCATGTGCACATACATGGAGCACATTTATTTTCTCTGGATAGTGGTGGATCCGGCATTTTGCCGCCAGATATTTTGGAGAATATATGGAAAATGAGTTAAAGTTGCCTGCTAAATACCATCAACATCATACACAATACTTGATTCCAAGTTTGGTTTCAGTCACTGCTGGCAGATCTCCAGTGGCTACACAGCTGGTTGATGTGGTCAGCTGATGGCTCATGAATAATACAGCATGTTTGCTGCAGAGTACAAACAATTCAAAATGTGTTAAAAAATGAGTACAAAACTGATTCTTAGTAAGAACATTCAAAATCTTGTTTGTATCATTGGGTTTTTAAAGGCAGTTTGAAACCATCTTTAAATGCTGAGACCTGAATCCAAACATATATAGACACTGGATCCAGTAAAGCAGGATTGCAACTGTACTTTTGGGAATAAAGGTTGATAAGAAAAAACTCAAAATTGAGAACATGAACTGAGAGCAATGTACACGCCTACATAAAAATTTACATAAAGATCAGCATTAATTTCCAACAAGGCTTGGCTATCTGCTAACAGCAAGTTATAAAATGCTATGCTGTGTTGGAAACAAGCTTAGCTCATGTCTGGGGAACATGAATCAACCATGTGTGTGATGACAAATCACATGTGCCAGAGTAGGCATAGTTGATTGCCATAGTGCACAGACTGGGCTCAAAGTAGGAATCTTAGCTCAGAACCCAAGGTTGATGACAATCTAACACCAGTGAAAAGATGTATTGCATTTAAAATGAAATTTTATGTCTGAATTAAAGCATAGTCCTGCAATCAACACAACTGGAAAAGTTGCATAGCACCATTCAGTCTGCACAAGAGGCACTCACTCTGCCAGGCATCCATGCAACATCTGTGTGTGGAACCTCATAGTTGTGTGAATGGAACTCAGGCCAGGCCAAGTGTCACAGAATTTTCAAGTTACCCTTGCACAAAAATGTTTTCTGGGGATTCCTGCCTAACATGACCTTTGCATTATCATGACTACCTAAAACAATGGGCCTGCAATACACTGAATTTGGAAGTGCACCAAATGCTGAGCACTCACATTTATAGCAGGCACACGCTAACATTGCCGCTGCGGTGCTGCTGTTCTGACGAATAAGCACAGCGGACCTGCATTATTGGCTGACTGGAGCGCCGGACATCTGCCGATTGACGCCCACACAGATTAAAGCTACCTTCCAGCGAAACTTACCTGCCCTTGACACCGCGTATAAGCGAACCAAGGACATGCCGAACTCTCACCGGGAGCGAGAGCAACCTTTACAAGTAAAGAGACGCGAGTAAGGTATATATGTAAATATGGGAACACCTATGGACTATCGCATCTGCTCGTCCTGAACAGCAATGTCGTTTCGCCTTTTCGTCGCAGAAGGAAAACATTCATGGTGGCGCTGTTACGACAATCTCTTAGTTAATGCCACCAAATTGGAATGACGTAATGTTGGACAAGCAGCAGTAATCTGAGCGCAACACGCATCACCCGCAATACGCACGGTAGGCGAGATTTCGAGAGTCCGTGTTCAGTCCGTGCTCAGCAATAGCTCCGGGTGGCCAACACCGCACAGACGTCGGTGAGCACTGATCCACTGGGCTAGGGCCACCGGTGCTGTGAATTCTATCTGCGTTGTGTTAGTTTCTTTAGCAGGTTTGCAGCCGTGCATTCGCAGGCCAGGTGGGCAAATAGCCCACTTGACCATTTTTGTGAGACCCACGAGGATGTATGTTGACAGTTTGTGTTCATAAGACGGGTTGTCCCAGCTACTTAAAGAAAGCCCCCTCATTCTGGTATGCCTTTTGTGAGAGCATGCATGTTACCGAATGAATTTGTGATGGACATAAAAGTTAGATTGCCTGACTATGAAGCAGCTATAGTTAGTCTAGGCATTATGTGAAAAGTATAATTTGCTTGTTTCCATTCTCTCAAGATGTATCAAGGCATGTATAGTGGTCAAACAACCTTTTGATGATTTTCAGGGGATTTGTCTTGACTAGCAGGAATTGCCCAAGTTCCCTCAAGATGATTGGAGAGGATTAGGCAGGAAGTTGTTGTTTGCTTATAACCTTTGAGTGTTGACTTAGTGTTCTCTGTCATTTTCTGGTAATTTTAATGCATGTTTTGGGTACTGATTGTTTGCCTGCTCCACAGATTATCCAGATTTACATCTGCAGTTACACAGATCATACCATTGTGGGGTCCATTGACCAGTGTGTCTTGGATCCTTTGACCAGTGTGTCTTGGGTGCATAGGCTCCTTCCATATTCTGTAAGTATTCAGCTTTTGGTAACCATATGAAACCAGGAATCCCAACAGGTAGGGTGGAAGGTATTTTGTATATTGCTGATGTCTGTTCACAATCTGAGGCATATGCTTACCAGTTTTTATTTCAGGTTCAGCAATATGCAGGCCATGTGGCATCTGCGCTATATTCCTCATTTGTTTCAATCAGCTGTGAAGAGTCTGAGCTCCCTGCCAGCTGTCTCATATTCAACCACAGCAGACATAATTGAGCAGGAGCTCAAGTATGGTGCACATAACTACCACCCACTCCCTGTGGCTATTGAAAAGGCTAAAGGTTAGTAAACTCTCTTTTAATCATATTTGAGATCTGCAAGTAAATTGGTCACTGAAAAGCACTTAAAAGGCAAATTAACTTGCATTCTATGATATGAAGTGTGGAGTATAGGATACCTATCGCTCAGGCTCTTATTTGGTTGAGGTACACAGCATGTCAATGCTCCATGAAGAAATGTCATGAAATTTAAGTTCTGTATTGTAAAATAGCTGTATGATTTCCAAAATCATCATAACATTTATCTGTGCCTTCCCTGGAGTTTGGTGTTATTCTGCATAGCTGCACACATGCTGCTCCCAATCATATTACCTGCTGCAGTATATGTGACACCAAATCTTCTGGCATTGCTGTTCATCATGTCCAGTTCAACCATGTGCTACCCTGTTTTTTGTGGGGAGGGGGCAGCAGTGTGTGAAGCAGCCTGCAATGTTGGCAGGTGTGTTCATGTGGGACGTCGAGGGCCGTCGCTACTACGATTTCCTGTCGGCGTACTCGGCGGTGAACCAGGGCCACTGTCACCCACGGATCGTGGCGGCGCTGAGCGAGCAGGCCTCGCAGCTCACCCTCACCTCACGCGCCTTCCACAACAACGTACTGGGCCAGTACGAGCAGTACGCCACCGAACTCTTTGGCTACGACAAGCTGCTGCCCATGAACACTGGTGAGTGGCGGTCGGCCAAGCAGGGGCCTGTGATGCCTGCAGGGGCTGTACTGTCCATGTCCCTGTCTGTGTGCCTGCTAGCTGTCAAGAATGTGTTCAGTTCTGTGTTGGGTAATGCTGCATGTCATTGGATTTATAGCTGGGTTGAGCTGTTCGCAACTTGATGTCTACTTGTCCAGGCTGGGCCTTTTTGGCTAGGTATTGTGCTGCTCTGATGTCTGCTTTTCTCAGGCCAGGCGTCTTGGCTAGATATTGTGCTGTTTGAATGACTCAAAACAGCTCTCAGCTTAATTTGTCATAGAAATTACGGCTTGCACGCAACACCAATTAGTGATTTGGATGCAAATGACCAAGTCCACAACACACCGATTCATCAGATGGCCTTGCATCGACAGTCAGCTGACCACAGAGCTGCTTTGTGGTGAGCAATCCACGCGTCTCTGTACGTCCAGCGGAAATAAGAATATGATGGCATGTCTTCCTAATGGAACGCCGTCGGCCTTGTCGCCATACAGGCGTCGAAGGCGGCGAAACGGCCAACAAGCTGGCGCGGAAGTGGGGCTACCTTCGGAAGAAGATTCCGAAAAACAAGGCCAAAATTGTCTTCTGCGAGAACAATTTCTGGGGGCGGACCCTGAGCGCCGTGTCCTCATCGACGGACCCGTCCGCTTACGAACATTTCGGTCCGTTCATGCCGGGCTACGAGATCATACCGTATAACGACTTAGAGGCCTTGGAGGTGCGTACTGACTGATTTTGGAATCACAGCGGGGTAACCGACGTGACCGTGTTTCTAGAATCAAGGCTTTGCGGGGCCATTTCGTAGCTGGATGTTCGCGGACGTTACCTCTCGCAGTGGCATGATGCTTGGCCGGCTCGTTGTATGGATACCCGACCAGCACCCATTCTCGTAGTCAGAGGGTCAAGCGGCCCTCGCTGCATCACTGTACTCTTAGAGCAGTCTGGATGTGTCAAACACTGGGTTGCAAACTGCAGAGCAACCTGTGATCTGATGTGATGGTAACCAGATGTGATGTGATAAGTGATGGTACCTGGACCAGTGTCTGTCTGGGTTACCATCACTGACCTGCCACAGGCACCCACCAGCTCCCTCGGCAAGCCTGCAGATGGTGTTCACGAGGGGCACTGACCCCAAGCCGACCCGTCTAACCGAGTGTGACCTCGCTCTGACCGGACCTGACCTGGCCTGATCGGCTCGCCGCAGGAGCTGTGTCGCGATCCGCACGTGGCCGCCTTCATGGTGGAGCCGATCCAGGGAGAGGCGGGCGTCATGGTGCCGGACGAGGGCTACCTGCGCGGCGTGCGGGACATCTGCACGCGCCACAACGTGCTCTTCATAGCCGACGAGGTGCAAACGGGCCTGGCGCGCACCGGGCGTCGGCTGGCCTGTGACCACGAGGACGTGCGGCCTGATATCCTGATCCTCGGCAAGGCGCTGTCTGGCGGCGTCCTCCCGGTACGGACCAGGAGCGATAGGGTAACATCCGGAGGGGTATCAAGGAGCGGGTGGACACGAAAATGGGACAGCAGGACCCGATGTTTGGGAGAGGGGCTTACGGGGCGGGAGGATGCGGGAGGACTCAGGGGTAAGAGCACTCGAGGATAGTACGGAAGAACTCGTCCTGGTACCACATCAGATCGCTACATCGGACACCACATCGCCCTGTATGTCAGTTGGTGGTGTGTTTGATGGCAGCGACTGGTACATTCCCGTTTGGTGGACCCGTCTGTCGACTGGCACACGGTGACGTCATGTGTCGCCGCCCTCCTTATATGTTGGTGTGTGTGGCGGGTTGTGGCGTAGCACGCCGTCCGCCTGCCTTGCGGACCACGGCGTCACACGTCGTCGAACGTGTCTGTCTGTCGGGCCATGGCGTGATGTCTCGGTTGTCGGCCTGTCTGTCGGGCCATGGCGTGATGTTTCGGTGTCCGCAGGTGTCGGCCTTGTCTGGCGGACGATGACGTCATGCTGTGTCTGAAGCCGGGCGAGCACGGCTCGACGTTTGGCGGTAACCCGCTGGCGTGCCGGGTGGCGCTGGCGGCGCTCCGGGTCATGGAGGAGGAGCGGCTGGCCGAGCGGGCCGAGCGGCTCGGCCAGCTGCTGCGCGAGCAGCTGCGCCAGCTGCCCGAGCACCTGGTGCCCGTGGTGCGCGGCAAGGGTCCTTCTCAACGCCATCGTCATCAATGACAGTGAGTGTGGCGGTCGGGGCGCCACGCAGCTGGGAGCTTGGGAAGAAGGGTATCCGCTCACTGCTTGTGATGCGTTAGTGGGTGGGTGTTTCTTCCGTTCAATTGTTGAGCCGCATGTATGCACAGTACGCTTCGTCATAGAGAATGGGAAGGAAAGATTTCGCCGTCATTTTCAAAGCCCCTAGAAGTTGCCATATCGCTCACACGGACAGTGTGCGTCGCTGCACAACAACTTGGATGTGTATGGGAAGTCTGCCGGTTAAAAAGACGTTTTCAGTTTCATTTGGTTTGTTAGTGTTGCGGGATGAGACCGACCTATTCCTGCTGTCCTCCGGCATGCCGCTGTTTGTCTCCCTGCTCGCCCTGCGTAACCATCCACGTGGCTTCGGCGTGTGCGTGGCGTTGGCGTCGGTCTGTGGGAGCTGGCGGCAGGTGACCTTGACTGGTCAGTCTGTGGAGCCGGCGGCAGGTGACCTTGACTGGTCAGTCTGTGGAGCCGGCGGCAGGTGATCTTGACTGGTCGGTCTGTGGAGCCTGCGGCAGGTGACCTTGACTGGTCGGTCTGTGGAGCCGGCGGCAGGTGACCTTGACTGGTCGGTCTGTGGAGCCGGCGGCAGGTGACCTTGACTGGTCGATCTGTGGAGCCGGCGGCAGGTGACCTTGACTGGTCGGTCTGTGGAGCCGGCGGCAGGTGACCTTGACTGGTCGGTCTGTGGAGCCGGCGGCAGGTGACCTTGACTGGTCGGTCTGTGGAGCCGGCGGCAGGTGACCTTGACTGGTCGGTCTGTGGAGCCGGCGGCAGGTGACCTTGACTGGTCGATCTGTGAGCCGGCGGCTGGTGACCTTGACTGGTCGGTCTGTGGAGCCGGCGGCAGGTGACCTTGACTGGTCGGTCTGTGGAGCCGCCGGCGGCAGGTGATC